CGTGTGTGCACTCAAAATAATTTCAATACTAGCACTTATACGTAGTATAGCGTAGTAGAGTTCGTATCCACAGGGAAAAGAATAACTTTCTTTTTATGTAAATAATAAATAAAGGGGGGTTTTAATTGTTGAGTGATTTAATTAAATTAAACACGAAGATGAACGAGTTATATGGGATTAAATTCAAGAATAAAGGGACTTGGTCTTGCTTCTTTCCACTTGTTGATATATTTTAGTCGATCATTGTTATATCTATAACTTATCCCCTCTCGAATACTCAATCGAGGAGTATATCCAATTCATCGAGGGTAGTTATTAACAACGACCGTTCATTAATAACCCTTACTATTAACCAAATATAGAACAACGCCGTATACCGATTTAATAGTAGCATTTAACCTCTTTAACTCCTTGATGAAATCAATTGAGATTGATAACCTCAACACATTGGTTTCGGTTTAACCAACAAAATTAATCCCTCTTAAGTTTATTAACCACGACCGTGCATTAATAAACCGAAGTTACTTACTTGTGGAACTATCAACGTTTAACCATCGGTTCGTTGATCGTTTCTAGTAATAATCAATGTCGGAACGTTAACTAATCGTCACTTAGCCACCCTCCAACATTAATATAGAATGAGATTAAGGGAAGAATTAATAATCAAGAGGAGAAAGTAAGAAAAGAACTCACAACTTTAATAATCAACAAGCTTCAAGAGCAAAACCAAGAATTGGAAGTTTAGCTCCTCATTTGGAGACTAAACATGCTAAAAGAAATATAAAGAAATGCTATTCTAAACTGAGCTTAAGAGTATAAAGGAATTGGTGCATTTTTTTTGGAGAAAATGGGGTGTATTTATAGGCTTTTTAGGCCTGCAGGGTCGTGTACTCGATCGAGTATATAGGGTACTCGACCGGGCCTTCAGTTGCTTCGCGGAAGCTGAAAAACATGGACATACCCGATCGGGTATGTCGGCTACCCGATCGGGTATAGACACCCGATCGTGGTTAAAATCTTCCCTGCACATTGCCTTGTTCGCAGATTTATCTGATTTGATTTTTCAGCAACTTACCCGATCGGGTATAGGGTATACTCGACCGGGTACAACACCAAAAATCAGGATCTTCATTTTGTTTTGGAATTTTTGCACCTTCCTTCCACTTGTGATGTTCACCAATGGTCCCTAGAGTGGTCTTGGACCTGTTTGAGCTCAGAACAAACCTAATCTAAACAATTTACAAACATTTTACAAACTAAACTATTACACCAAAAGTGTGTAATTTCTAGAGTAACAATCACTCAAAACTAATCAAAAACACAAATATATACATGGAAATAACATGAATGTCAAACGCATTATCGTCTCTCTCCCCTTCTAGATTTCTTCTTCCCCGCACATCGATCAACTTCATCGCATAGTTCATATGCCATATCGACTTTATCCTCGGCCACCGCCGCCGCTGACTCCACCGCACGCACGCGGCCATTTGGTGAGGTTTCTTTTTATTCTTCTTCCTCCTATCATTTTATTTTTCTGACTGTGAAGTTCATTTTTCTGATTTTTTGTTGTTGTGAAAACTGTGAAATAAGTCTTGTAGTTATCGGTGAATCAATTAAGACCACGAAGTTTTAAAACACTCAATTTTAACAGATGTTGCTGGTAATAGCTGACCCAGGGACGGATTTAGGATTTCGAATCAAGGGGGACAAATATTTTTTCATTAGTGTAGGGAGTGAAAAAAAAATTCGCTAGTAAGCGGGACGGAAAAAAATTCGCTAGTGTAGCGGGGCGATTTTTTTCTGCTAGTGTAAGGTTCTGCGGCTAATTTTTATTCAAAAAGTTCTTTTAGTACATATGGAGTACTACATAAGTGCTCTAGAAAAAAGTATTAATACATTAAAGCTTAAGAAATGACAAGTCAAAGGAAAATTATTTGAAAATAAGAAAAGATATACGTAGTATAACATTTTATGATATTACTTGAAGGTAAAGAGGTTAAAATTAAAGGTACACATCAACCAATGCTTTTTAAATAACTCATGTCTTGTTTAACAACATGAATCTTAACAGAATAAAGAATTGGTTTTTGAATTGAGATTTTTGTCTACCAAGGAGGGTATTAGTGGGTCACGATGAGTTTTCTTAATATTACAATAGTATGTATGAAATTATGATATTTAGAATAATATGATACATAGTAATGTTAATTCATTGTATATGGTGCATATTATATTTGTATTAATGCTAAAATAAGTTAAAGTATTATCTATTCAACAAATTGTTTTTAGAAAGTAAGAGGTAAATGAAGTGTGTAATTTAATCTCAACCAACATTTATACTATTTAATAACTACCGCATCTGATATTCAATATCGTTTGATATCTTACAAAACCGAGTACTAATTATCTAATAAAGAAAATTAAACATTACAAAACTAAAGAATTTTTAGGTATCCTAAGTCTTAAACAATGAGTTCTATTGTTTATTTGTTTAAGTTATGTAAATTATTTTAGATTCTACTTCTCTTAAATCCTCAATTAAGTATTACATTATGTGAGCCTATATATTAATTTTGAAAACTAAATCTTAATGGGGGCGAAAACATATATATCTAATTAAAATATGAAATTTTTATGAAAATATTAAAAAAATTTGGAAGTACAAGGGGCAATCGCGCACCCCTTAGTTCCGTCCCACAGCTGACCTGAATGCCCATGTGACAATAATTATAATTTTTGCCTTTTTCTATGCCTTTTTTTTTCTCTTTCTTTTTTCTTTCCCTCCTTTCTTTCCCCTAACTTCTTCCGATCCTTGGAGTTGCAGCAACCCGTGTTTCTTTATTTCTTTCTTCTTCTTTCCGTGCACTTTCTTTCCCATCCCCCAATTTCTTTCTTTTCCGCTTTTCTTCCTTTCTTTCTTCCATTCTTCCCGATTATTTTCTTAGGGCGGGCGGCAGTTAAGGAAGACATGGGCGTACGGCGGCGGCTAGGCAAACTTTGGCTGTGGGCGATGAGTGGCGCTCAGATTGAAGAAATCGCGGGTGAAGAGCGACACACTTTAGGTGTTAGGCAGAGTTCAGATTACCAGCTAACCAGGAATTACAAAAGTTGCGGTTTTGTGGACGACGGCTGACCGCCAATGGAGAATGAGGAAGACTTGATGGGCGGTGGTTGATGTTTTTGTGGAGAGAATTAGAATAAAAAAGAAAGAGTGAATCAAAGAAACCAAGAGAAATGAGTTTAACGCATCAAACCCTATGATATATGTAAAGGAAAAAATACTCTAATATTACTAAAACTCATGACTTTTCCTAGAATATGACCACATATGTTTTTAATCCTATGCATGACCAAATTGAACATCACATACATGGGACGACTGTAATTAATAGAATGAATAACCTATAATGCCCTTATGCGGTTATGCCGATAGAACTAACTCCTTAATTTTAGGAATACTAATTAATACAATCTAATGCATGTTCCCCTCATCGGCAATTAAGGGAACGTTCGTTGGGAAAAAAAAGTAATGATTTGAGAAGCATGTACTGATAATTGAGCAATAAATGAGCAATAAATTAATGCATTGAAAATGAGGTAAAATGACAGTAATATTTATGATGACGGATAATGATATATGCAATAACTTAAAAATAATAAATGTGTTATTCTATTCATCCGTTAATCCTTCTAATCGATTAGAATGAAATGGGCATTAATTTAAACATGAAAATGAAAGTAAATAGGTAAGAGGGCAATAAATATGTAAGAAGGCAGTATAATGCGTATTACATATATTTATATTATATACTCCATATATGATAATAGTGACTGCTATTGTATAATTGAAATGCATATAATAAAATAGTAGTAACATGATATGTATATACGATAGTATATAGAAATAATAGTAGTAACATGATATATTATCTATAACATTAAAAACATAAGGGCAATAAATTTGATTAAGGAGTAACATTGGTCAGTAAAACCTAAAGGGCAGTAAAATAATTTAGTATGACATCTATGGGAGTCTGGAAGTAATGAGAATATGTCATAATTAATCAATCGGAAATATATTTAAATATTAAATAATAGATATGTGTTACCATATTTCTAGGATTACTATAATGATGAGTCATGACGGTTACCATATTATTAGAATTTCTATTTATTAAAAGGGATTGTCGTCGTACTTATCTATCTATCCGACTAATTAGGAAGACAAAAACATTAAACAACTTTTGTTTTAATCTTGTTAGGAGGGCAACCGTGGAATTAAAAGCAAAAATAAAACAATAATGAATCATGCACGGATTAGAGTAGGAAATAAACTCATGAAGTCATATATTGGGAAATGAGAGATGTTTTAGTCACATGAGGGATAATTATCTCTATATGTAAATCCAGCACATTAACCTCCTATGATTTAAAAAGTGCGTCAAACTCTCTTGTGTTATTAGTTGTTCATGCGCAAAATTCCTTCCAAAAACAAATTTTATAATTTTGAAGTCACTTTTCTTAATAATATGATTGAATATGTAAGTAACTTTTTCAAGATTTCTAAATTACACAAAAACTCTAGTCATCTTTCATTTGTTTGACAATTAAATTTGTTCATAAAAGAGGTTTTGCGAATTAATTATTAACGACAATTGTTTGACGCTTTTTTTAAATCACATAAATCGCATGCCCTGACTTTAATTTATATTTTACGAGGGAGTTTGATGCACTAAACACCAAATTATATTAAGAGTCTTGAGTAGAAGTTTGAGACATTTTATAGCTCACCATAAGATCAACCACACATTGGCGACTGATATCACATTTTTTGTTTTGAATCAATTATTTCACACCATCGAGGTAGATATCTCTTTTATTTGTTGTTTGAAATTTGAATCAATCATTATTCCACAAAATCCTTCTCATGAAAATCGTTGTGTACCAACTGTAAATAAAGTATAGGTCTTCCACCCATCCCGGCCCCTCCTACGCCTCAATGTCGTTTGCTTCTGAATCTAAGAGCTATAGATTAATATAGTTTAGTACTCAAGTAGGAAAAATAAAATGTCTTGCGATAACGGAGATCAGGTGCCGTTATTATCCTCCGACATCCAAAGCCAAAATAGCGATCCTCATATATACGAACAACAACTGACACAGAGGTTTTGGATCGAATCAAAGAAACTATGGCACATTGTGGGCCCCGCCATCTTCACCCAAGTCGCTTCATATTCCATGTTCGTCATCACCCTGGCATTCGCCGGCCATCTCGGCGATTTGGAATTTGCGGCCATGTCCATCGGCAGTAATGTCATCGTGGGCTTTGACTACGGCCTGATGGTAATAAGTGGATGCTTTATTTCGAAATATGAAGTAATAAAGTGTTATATAACTTTCCTCGTTTATTTTGAAATTAGTTGGGATTGGCTAGCGCTCTGGAAACGCTATGCGGGCAAGCATTCGGGGCGAACAAGTATAGCATGTTGGGAGTATATCTGCAACGGGCATGGGTGGTTATGATAATATGCTGCATTGTGATGATGCCGCTGTTCATATACGCGACGCCGTTGCTGAAGCTTTTGGGGCAGCCCGACGACGTGTCGGAGCTTTCGGGCGTGGTGGTGATGGCTTTCATTCCGCTGCACTTCTGCTTCGGGTTACATTTCCCGGTGCAGAGGTTCTTGCAGAGCCAACTGAAGAATTCGGTGATTGCTTGGGTGAATTTGGTGGCGTTGATTGTGCATTGTCTGGTGAGCTGGTTGATTGTGTACCGGTTTAGGCTTGGAATCGTAGCCATCATCATGACCTTGAACTTCTCTTGGTTCATTATCTTATGTGGGTTGTTTGGCTACACCGTCTACGGCGGATGCCCCCTCACATGGTCCGGTTTCTCCGTCCAAGCTTTCTTTGGCCTTTGGGATTTCTTTAAACTCTCTGTTTCTTCAGGAGTTATGCTCTGGTATGCTGATTTGCTCTCTTTTTCGAAATCAATATTTTTATTATTAAGACAATAAGACAAATATTAAATTAAAATAATTAGAGAAAAATATTATCAGAATAAAATATAAAACAAAATATGACTAAAGTTAGTGTGGGTTACTTTATTAATCATCTAAGATTTGAATTTAATTGTAGCTATTAAAAAGTGACTAAGAGCCTCTGATAAAATTAGAATCACTTGAATTTCATGAAATTGATGGAATTTAGGGATGGCAACGGGGCGGATCGGGGACGATTTTACATATAACCTGTTGGGTTAATGGCCCAAGTTGAGGTTCGGCCCATTTACCCTTTCTTCCGGACGTACGTCCAGATAGATCACTAGGCTAGCCTGGCAAGCCCACTTCCTCCGGGAGGGACGAGCGTCTGCAGATGGGGTTCAGGCTCAGCGGCCCATATCGACGAACGTCTATGCAGGAACAAGGAGCAGGACCACGGGCCACCAGAATGACGATGAACGTCGTCAGAGCAAGCAATACCCATCAGAGGCAGTCCAGTCCACATGGCGAGAATCCACAAGGGCCAAGGGACGAACGGCCCAATACCCCTTGAGGGCCACCAGGAGCAGCTCACCCCCCGGACGGACGAACGTCCCCACCAATTGGCGGGAAACCTAGATTCTGGCGGGAAGTGCATTTAATGCTGAAGATTTGGTGGTTGGGACACCAGCCAACCGCAGTCTTCCACGTCAGCGTAGCCAACTGCCCATTGGTGGGTATAAATAGAAGCATTTATTTCATTGTAAACGGTTGGCAACTTTCTATTCTTAGCACGCTAGCTATAGCATTCTTACTCGCAGCACTTCTACTGCCTTGTAAGACGAACGGCCGACGAGCCTTAGCGAAAGTATTGTATTAGGGAGTTATTAACAGATAATAATACCTAATCACTTACTTGCTACTTATTGTTTTCCTTGATCCATCTCACTTGTTAGTTGGGCTAGTTTATTCACACACCTAATCCACTCGAAACTCTCGGGCTTACGTGTTGGACCCGAGGGTTGAAGGAATAAACCTCAACATAACCGTACCTGCCCCGTTTAGTAATTCCCCCGCCCCATAACCGCCCCATTACCCAACAGGTAATTTTTATCCAAACCATAACCGCGGGTAATCGCTTTATTAAATGAGTCCTTTATATTTTAATATAAAAATAATATTTTAAAAGGAGAAAATGACATCTCTTAGACGACTCTAGACCCAGACGTACACCACTTAAAAAATATTTAATCTGAAAAATAATTAATCACGAAAAATCTGAAAATAATCCAACACAAGACTATTAAGATCTATTATAAACTTTCATTCATACGCTATAGTTAGTAAATCTATTATTCAAATATACACAATGAAACTAGAAAAATATCATCTTTTAATAGTTGTGAGACAAATAATAGATAAGAACGTAATAAAAATATAATTAAAAATAAACGGGGCAGGTAATGGGGCGGGCATGTATAAAACCATAACCGCCCCATTACCCGTAAAAACAAAACGGGTATTTCCCGCCCCGTACCCGTTACCCGGTCAATGCGGTTTTCTCCATTTTGACCGGGGCGGTTCGGTGCAGGTATCCATCGGATCGGTCAGAATTGTCATCTCTAATGGAATTATGGTTGAAGTGGCCGGAATTTTGCTTGATTATACTTATACGTACAAGTTCTTTTTTATTGTACTAAAACTTTATCATTTTCCAGTATGATTTTCTTTAATTAATTTTTAGTTTTACTATTCTTTTCTCTCTACACAAATAATTAAACCTCACCAACAAAATATTTACTAAAGAATTTACAATCTTCAATGTGACAGAAAGGTCAGTATCTCATTCTTGTAAGGATTATATCGAACTACTACGCTTGATATATTAAGCAGAAATTGCCCTAAATAGGAGTAAAAATGTTTTAAAATTCCAAAATAAGACTATCGTGTTATCTATTCCCTAAATAGGAATAATCTGCCAAACTTGGAAGAAATTTACTCCTATTCAGGGAATAAAAAACATGATAATTCTATTTGTGAATTTCAAAACGTTTTTACTCCTAATTAGAGAATTCTCTCATAATTAAGTAAAAAATAAACTTGACATATTAATTTTAAAACTATTATAAATTATTCTAGTTTTTTGGAAATTTAATTGGGTTAAAACATTGAATGTGTGCATCAATAGGAGTTCAATGTTTAATATGAGTAAAAGTGTAATGACTTGACTATAATACCCTTAATGAAGTTCAACATTTATTATAATTTAAAAAATAGAAAAGCAACTCAAAATCAAACAAAACCCCTTCCTCCCTCCATTCCTATGTGCAGCACCCGCACAGCCAATCTGCCACTACCGTCCGGCGAGTTCGTCGGTGCAGTGTCTGGCGAGTCTGCCGCCCTCCGGCGAGTCTGCTACAGCCGTCCAGGGAGCATGTGGTTGTGGAGTGAGTCCGTCAAAGCAGCCACCACCATGCTCCGATGAGGTTGCCACCGCCGACCTCTGCTTGTCTTTTATTTGGTACACCGTGACATCCACTGCTGCCATCTTCTGCCACCTCCTGCAACAATTTTGTGCTAGATATTAAAAATAACTTAATGATTAATGTCATGTTAAAATAGTCATGCCATCTTAAAATAGTAATGACATTTTCATGTAAAAACATGGCATTCACAATACAAAAACATGGCATTCCCAAACATGTCATTAGAAATGATATTTCCATCTTCATAAAATTAGTCCCATAAATATGGCATTTTGGTATTGAAAACATGACATTAAAATTACAACATTCCAAAAGAGCTATTAGCATTGCCATCTTCATAATTAAAATGGCATTAATTTTTTAAGTGAAAAGACCAATTTGTAAATGATGAAGAAAAATCATTGTAGTGTGAAAAAATATGTGAATCAAAATTAAATACTAAAGACAGATCTAAAAATTTCAATCACAATTATTCAATCCTAAGAGTTTTTTTTTTGCTTAAGGTAATTATCCCAAAGATAATAATTGAAAATAACTAAAATTCAAGAAAAAAAGAAAAACAGAGGAGATGGGAGAGGAAGGAGCAGAAGAAAAAGGAAAATGAGGAGAAGAAGAAAAGAGAGAAGAAGGCTCAATGGCCTCACAATCGCCGACAGCCGCCGCACAATCGCCGACAACCGCTGCGTGCATCCGTCACCTCACCTCATTCAGCTCTTATATTTGTGCCACATCATGCTCTTGAATTGGTGCTACCAATTAAAACCTTGCTCCCATGCTTTCTCTTGTGAGTTGAATAGGAGAGAGAGGGAGCAGATCTGATCTTGTGAATGCTCCCGAAGTTGCTGCTATTAGGGGTGTTCGTCAGTTCGGTTTGATCTATTTTCGGTTTGGTCGGTTTTTTTTTAAATGTGAAACTGTAAACCGAGCCGCACTACTTGAGTCAGTTTCGGTTCGGTTTCGGTTCGGTTAATATCAGTCGGGTCGTGTCGGTTTCGGTTAGTTTTAGCATGTTTTTGTCGGTTTCTGTCTGTCGGTTTCGGTTCGGTTGGTTTTTTAACCCCAAAGGTGAAACCGTAAACCGAACCGCCAATGTTTAATCGGGTTGAGTCGGTTTCGGTTTTGGTCAGTTCGGTTTCAGTCGGTTTGTCGGTCGGTTTCGGTTTTTCGGTTTTTTTGTTCACCCCTAGCTGCTACGGAAGCTATTTTCCATGCGTGATTTGAATAGGAGAGAGATGGACATATCTAATTTTGTGATTCAAACAAGAGAGAGGGAGCATATCGAGGAGATAAGGACGGATCTTCTATTCAGGAAAACAGATCGATACATTAAATGATAGAGGGGCAAACATGTCCTGACACATTAAAAATACTCCTATTTTATCAATTAAAAGGAAGAGCTCCTATTTGGGCATACGGGCCATGTTTTGCTCTTATCTTGGACCATTTCTCAATTTAGTTGTATCGTGAAAATTCTGTATTTGCGATCAACGTTAAGTAAATATTTTAAATTTGCTTCACTATATGAATTATGTTTGAGGAGAACCCAAGTTTATCTTCAAAAACGTTTGGAAACATGCATTACCTCTTTAGGGGGTTAATTCTTTAGGAGTGAATTCAATGTATGCTCTAAATTAACTCTTATCCAAACAAATCATATTGCATTCATCTTGATTTACTTAATAAATTAAAAGAAACTTAATAATATCTAAACAACTTTTCTATATATTCAGACAATAAAAATACTTAACAATGATTAAATGTGTAACTTATTTTTTCTTTTTAAGTTTGTCGCACTATTTTGTGCAAAGTAGTCACACTTAGGTGATTATATGCAGTGGCGTATCTAGGAATTGAAGTGAGTGGGGGCGAATTCATATTACTTTCTCCCTCTCATAAATTCTTCTTACTTATTTTTTTGAATGAATTTATATTAAGTGTGTAAAATGTAATGCAATATGAATTAACTCTAAATGAATCAAGTATAATTTAACTCTAAATATGTATAAATATATATTAAGTCACTTTAAATTTGATTAAAACTTTAAGGATACAAGAAAGATAATGAATGCAAAATTAAAGTTTAGAACAAAATGGGTGAATGCACGTCCTTACCCGCTGCAGAAGATTGTTCTTTAAGTAACAATTTGAGTAATTATAGTATAAGTTGTGTATCTTCGGCACACAAATATATGTCTAATTAATTTTTTAAATATATGTATATATATGGAGTTGGGTGGGGTTGAGTGGGGGCAGCTGCTTCTCTGCCTCACCCTGAATACGCCACTAATGTATCATATATATTGGATAAACATTCTTTTTTCAATTGAGTATTGGTCAACAACTCAAAATATGAAGTTAATTAATTTCTATTATTTGTGGCTATTGGCTAACTTTATACGGTGTGCATATCTTAATGTACAGCCTGGAGAATTGGTACTACAGAATCCTGATAGTGATGACAGGCAACTTGAAAAATGCTAAAGTTGCTGTCGATGCGTTGTCTGTATGGTAAGAAAATTGTCACATACAAAAACATTTAGGGTGTGTTTCGGTGTTAATTTTTGGGAGGGAGGGAAAAAAAAAGTTTTGTCGATGCGTTGTCCGGTTCACTTTTTGCAGCATGAGCATTAATGGCTGGGAAGTGATGATTCCACTTGGATTCTTTGCTGGAACTGGGTTAGTACCACTATTTTACTGGATATTTTGTGCACAACTCATTTAGAAAAATGAATTTACAAAAAAGCGTACACTTTTCCTTTATACTAACGAAATTTTCTTTCCACATAGATAGTATTCTCGATCTATGTTTTGGGAAGTTTAGGGTCTAATATAGAAATTATATAAATATATATATGTGTGTTACTACCTTCATCCCTTCATGGAGATCTCCATGAAGAAGTTTACATGACCATTTCTTTAGGTTTTGAGCAAAAACAGAAGAACAAAGTTTGTCGCTTGTTGAAGAGTCTATATGGCCTTAAACAAGCCAGTAGGCAATGGTTTTCGAAGCTGTTAAGTGCTCTAAAGAATTATGGTTTCATTCAATCACGAGTGGACTATTCACTATTCACTTTACACAAAGATAATCTCACCATAATCCTCTTGGTATATGTTGATGATATCCTTGTTGCAAGTTCTGATATGCAACAAATCACTTTAATCAAGCAATTTTTGAATGACCATTTTAAGATCAAGGATCTGGGTCCTGTCCATTTCGGGGCTTAGAAGTAGCTAGATCTTCTAAGGGTCTCTACCTCCGCCAAAAGAAGTATACAATAGATCTAGCTTGTAACACATTATGGCTATCAAGACTGCAAGCTAGTTTCTTTCCCTATGGACAACAAGCTTCGTTTAAGTGCTCATGATGCTTAATACTTAGATGATTCTTCTGTTTACAGATCATTAGTAGGAAA